TCAACCAATTTTGTCAAAGGAGCCAGGCCAAAATTGTGGGCCCCAGACAGTGCCTGCACCCAAGCTAGCAAGTGCAAATATTATGCCGGGGCGGGGGGGACTTGTCCTTTTTGTGGAGGGAGCAATCCACTGATTGCTGAATTAAAGAAATTTTATGTTTATGATAGCTTTAGCAATTTTGGGTGGTCTACCCCATTAGCATTATCCTATGTACACTGCTTATGTTGTTTGTTTTGTGTTTTTTCACATAGTTTCCAGTAAACCACATGAAGGCTCCAAATATATTTTACTTCTTTTTTGGGTTATATCTTTTCAGAAAATGTTTAATTTGGTGTAATTTCCATTTGGGCTCTGTCTGAAGAGGGTAAATGGGTCAGTACAGACAGACCAGTTTTTCCAGTCTGAATGGACTATTTACCAGTTGATAGTTTTGCAGAAAGGACAAAATCTACAGGACATAACATTTTTTTTTTCTTTCATGAGTACAATTGATTTCTATGGGCTCCGTTTACACCACAGCACTGGTGTGAAGCTGGGTCCCAAAAAAATGCAGATGTTCTGCATTTTATCTCAAATTACTAATGACACCTTTTGTTGGTGCACAGCAGTACAATGAGCCACCAATGCTGACACTGACACTTGCCCACATAGTGAAACATTGCATTTTATTGTGCAGGCTAGTGTACACCCATCTAAGGGGCATATTATAAAGCTGTGAATGTTACATTTACCAAAAATTTACTGAAGGAGATTATTCTTGGTGCATTTGCTTTGAAGTGATTTTAAACATTTTTTTTTTTAACTTACCAATAGTTTTTAACAAGCAGCCCCAGTCCTCCTCTTCTGGGGTCCCCCGCACACACCACCCCCCCCGCCCCACCCCCCCCCCCCTCCCAGCCCCCTTGTGAATTGACAAGATGGCTGCTGCCCCTACCATGTCCAAGTGAGACGGGTGAGAATGAGCCACTGCTCTCGGGCACCAGCGCTGTATCAAAATCGGCTCAGGTAAGTATTTAAATGGGGCTACCTCCCCCGGAGAATGCATTAAGGTAAAAAAAAGCTCTTCTTTGCAACCACCTCAAAAAGCAGGGAATGATTAAACCTCACCCCTCCTTGAACCTGTTTGATGACTGTAACATTCACCTGTTTATGTCCCTGAGCTTTGGTTTGATTGAAACCTTTAAAAATAACTCCTGATGTTCTTTGCTGATATTTGTAGATCCCAGTAAATCCATCATTTCTTTTCCTCCCACTGGTTATAATATTTAGGAAGAAATGATTAGTGATGATAACATCCCCCCTTTAGGTTCTTCCTGAATAGAGTGAAACCTACCAGGACAGAGACCAATTTTCCCCAACTTGCTCATACCAATGCCGCAAGGTACAACGACACTTTTCACTATAAGATAAGCCTGCAAAATCATACCACAAGATGGATTCAGAGATAAAGAACCAGGATTAAACGCGTCACATATTTTTGGACCCAATTCTTAGTTTCGACACTGTAAAACTAAGACCCCCAGTCCCCACCCATACATTTTAACAAACATTTAACTACTTCCCTGCAGGAACACACAGTTCTCGCAGGGTTCCCACTCCACAGCTCAGGCCAAGTTTGCATATAGCACTAGCCTCACTTAGTGTTACCCCTAAAAATCTAACCATTAAACATAAAATGGACCTAGATCTCCTGCTTTGCTAGTTATAACCGTATATATATTGTCAGCATTCATTTTTTCCTCCCCACCCAGAGACTTACCGTATTTATGCCGGCTGTATAAGACGACTTTTTAACCCATGAAAAACTTCTGAAAAGTCGGGGGGGTCCGTCTTATACGCCGGTATAAAAAAAACGGTGAGCCATGTCCAGGCGGCACTTTTTTCGAGGGCAGTGCGGTGGCGGAAGGGACAACTAAGATACAGGGCTGGCAGGGGGCTGCTGTACCTTGCCCTGGCTCCGATCCCACGTCGATCCGGTCCAGGAAGCGCAGCTGCTCCTTCTATCAGTTCGGCCGCTCATGGGTTGCGCGGCCGCTCAAGCTCCGCCTCCTCACCGGTGATTGGGCGCCAGTCCACTGGAATTAGGCACACAGGCGACCAATCGCCGGCGAGGAGGCGGAGCCGAGCGGCCCCGCGAAAATCGAGTGAGGGAGCGGCCAGTAAAGTGTGCAGCAGCACCATGCTGTGACACTTTTGGCACTATTCCTCTCCCCCACTGACACTAACAAATGGCAAGTGTACCACCCCCCACTGACACTGGAATCGATAGGGCCACAGTTCCTCCCCCACTGACACCAAACGATGAGGCACATGTTTCCTCCCCACTGACACCAACGATGGGGCACTATTCCTCCCCCCACTGACACAGCCAACGATGGGGCACTATTCCCACCCCCACTGACACCAACGATGGGGCACTATAAACTCCTCCCCCCACTGACACCAACGATGGGGCACTATTCCTCCCCCCACTGACACCAACGATGGGGCACTATTCCTCCCCCACTGACACACCAACGATGGGGCACTATTCCTCCCCCACTGACACCAACACCAACGATGGGGCAACTATTCCTCCCTCCCACTGACACCAAACGATGGGGGCACTATTCCTCCCCCCCACTGACACCAACGCGATGGGGCACTATTCCTCCCCCCACTGACAACCAATGATGGGTATCACTATTCCTCCCCCTGACACCAACGATGGGGCAACTATTCCTCCCCCACTGACACCAACGATGGGGCACTATTCCTCCCCCACTGACACAATTCCTCCCAAACGATGGGGCACTATTCCTCCCCCCCACTGACACCAACGATGGGGCACTATTCCTCCCCCCACTGACACCAACGATGGGGCACTATTCCTCCCCCACTGACACCAACGATGGGGCACTATTCCTAATTTCCCCCACTGACACCAACGATGGGGCACTATTTCCTCCCCCCACATGACACACAACGATGGGTCACTGGGGCACTATTCCTCCCCCCCAACTATGGGCCACTGACTGACCACCGATGGGGCACTATGGGGCACTATTCCTCCCCCACTGACACCAACGATGGGGCACTATTCCTCCCCCACTGACACCAACGATGGGGCACTATTCCCTCCCCCACTGACACCCTCCAACGATGGGGCACTATTCCTCCCCCATGACACCAACGATGGGGGCCACTATTCCTCCCCAAATAACTCCAACGATGGGGCACTAATTCCTCCTCTCCCAATAACACCAACGATGGGGCACTATTCCTCCCCCCACTAACACCCCACCAACGATGGGGCACCTATTCCTCCCCCACTGACACCAACGATGGGGCACTATTCCTCCCAGACACTGACACAATGATGGGCACTATTCCTCCCCCACTGACACCAACGATGGGGCAACAATTCCCTCCCCCAATAACACCCAACATGGGTGCACTATTCCTGCCTCCCCAATAACACCAAATGATGGGCACTATTCCTCCCCATCAGACACCAACGATGGGGCACTATTCCTCCTCCACAATGATCGCACCAACGGAATGAGTGCGACTGCTGGTTCCTCCCCCTAACTGACACCAACACATGATGGGCACTATTCCTTCCCCTCCCCACTGACACCAACGATGGGGCACTATTTCCCCCTCCCCCTTCTGCCCTACTGGACATATTCCACCAATGACACATCAACAATGAAACCACCCTGAATGGGGCAAACTATTCTCCCACCACTGACACCCAACGATGGGGCACTATTCCCCTCCTTCCACTGGGGGGCATACCCAACGATGGGGCGCTATTTTCCCCCCGCACTGACACCAATGAATGGGGCACAGATTATTTCCCCCACTGACACCAATGATGGGGCACTATTCCTCCCACTGACACTAAATGATGAGGGCACTAATTCCTCCCACTGACTAAATGATGGGGCACATATTCCTCCCACTGACACTAATGATGGGGCACTATTCCTCACACTGACACCAATGATGGTGGCACGATTCTTCCCACTGACACCAATGAATGGAACACTATTCCTCCCACTGACTAATGATAGGGTGCACTATGTCTTCCTCCCACTGACTAATGATGGGGACACTATTCCTCCACTGACTTAAGGGTACACTAATGAAGTTACACTATTCCTCACTCAGCATACGTATCACACATGACTTTACTACCATGAGCAGGGCACCATCAAATCATTAGGTGAAGTCAGTGGAGAATAGTGTCCCATCATGGGTATCAGTGGGAGGAGTAGTGGTATCCTCATCATTGGTATCATGCTGGGTGAGGAATAGGATTGCGCCCCATCATTGGTGTCAGTGGATGAAAATTAGTGCCCCAGATCATTGGTGTCATGTGGAGGAGTAGTGCCTCATCATTGGTTATGCAGTGGTTGAGTGAATAGTGCCCCCATCATTGGTGGTCAGAGCGAGGATCGTGCCCCATCATTTGGTGTCAGTGGGAGTAATAGCACCCCATCATTGGAATAGTTACCCATACGCGAAATACATAGCATTACCATATTGAAATCAAATCTGATGTTTTTTTTCATTTTTAATTTGGTGTGTGTTGGACAGAGGGGTAGTCCTTATCGACGGCAAAGTATAGCTCAACCCTACAATTTTAACAGGAAAAGTAGGGGGTCGTCTTATACGCCAGCAAATACGGTAATTGAAGAGTGTTTGTTTTTTCTAAAATTCTTCAGTGAGACTTCAGCTAGCACTTCTGGCTGCAAGGGTAAAGTTTGAAGCCACAAAACATTTTTAAAATACAGTGAAAGAAACACCTGCGCCCTACTATGTGCTAAAAAATAAAATATACCTGTTTATATTGGTGGTGACTGCCACTACGTGTGCTGCTGCTAACATCAATTGTTTGTTTTCCTCAATGTAATATAAAGGTTAGTAGTGTGTAATATAGTGCTGCCTTGGCAGGAAATATGAATGATGAGAGCATAAAACATCAATCCATCAACTGCTAAACAACCATAGTGAATAAACTCATAACAGGGGGTGCATTGATAATAAAATATATAAAAGTAAAATATAAAAAGAATATATAAATATAAATAAAGTTAATTCAAGTTCCGGCAATTGCGTGATACCAACGCCATATAATATAGATCCGTGCTTCATGTGAATTTCAAACGTTATAGTGGCCACCTCAGTGCTCTCAGAACACTCTAGGTCTCACCATCTAATGCGTATTGCACTGTGTGTTTATTAAAAATATAGCCATTGTTGGTCTCTATCTCCTCCAACCCACTAGGGGACTCTCCACTCCATCCTCCTCTTCCTCTCCTTTTGTAGATATTAGGATAGCTTTAAGGATTCCACCATTTAGGATGGTAAAAGTTACCTCGCCCCAAAAGGTAATACAGCCTCATATAGTGTAGTTAAGTCGACAAAACTTCTGACATGCACTTACAATACAGGATTAAAACAACTCTCTTTTAAGAACAGAGGATCGCGGCATGTACTTCCTTATTCCTAAGTCATTCTACCTTGAGGTACGGCTCCCGAGCATTGCGTCATGTCCTACGCTTCAGTTGCGTCACTGTCACTTGTGACTTCACCAGGGATTCTCTGTTCTTAAAATTGTTGTTTTTTTGAACCATCTGAAGCGAGTTATTTTATCCTGAATCCTTCTCTACTTAAGCAAGCTGCTGAATGAAAGCTTCTAAACCCTGCATGCTGCCCTCTCATATCTGTAGGTAGCTTTTGGTTATCAGTACTAGTCAATAAACAAAATTAATTTAAGTAAATCCATTTTTCTATGGATTTAAATATTATATATATAATGAAACACTAAAGTCCACATTTTTTTTAGCTTTTAATATTGCCCACTAATTGTGTTACATTTATATCTTTTAAATGTCCCTCGATTTTAGCCTTGGAAAGAAGTGTATTTTTATCACAGATCCTCTCCATTTTAATGTGTAATTTCTAATGATGGGTGAAATTGTCTGTGTTTGATATTTGCAGGGACTCCTAAGCCTGATATTCTGTCGGGGTTGGTTGATCACATCATTAACTCCACCCCAGAATCTGAAGCTGAATTCGAACCATTAGAAGCAAGGTTAGGCCTTTGTTTAATGAAATGGCTTTATAAAGACGTAATTTTATAAAAGCAAAGAACAGTGTGCAAAGTGCACACCAGAAACAAAACCTATTCACGATAGACAAGATCCCGAACATAGTAAAATTTTAATTGGATTTGGGCTTTATGGGTTACTGCACAATCCACACAATCTGTTTTCCCCATTTCATTAAATAGGCAACTATGAAGGCCATATATTATAGATAATCTAGTTTCCACAAGAGACTTTGTCCTTCTGGCTGTAATATAGCAAATCAGACGTAATTTTGTAATAACCGTAATGTAAGCCTACAGTCTAAAAGATTAGAGGTGTTTTTTGTAAACGGAAGGGTAGTCTGTAACAGCATAGGAATGTATTTTATTTTCTAACAACTAACATCTTCCTAACAGTAATCAGATTAGTTGCTATGGGTAGCAACTTCTCATTTTCTTGCCAACTGTTATCTAAAGCTGCTATAAAAATAAAAAACATTGTTTTTTTTTTTCGTATTTATTTTTTTTTTTTTCTGTCGCCAGCATAAACAGTTGCAAACTCCAACACACATGAGGCTTATGTCCTTTGGATATGCAAATATGGCAGAAAAGACAATAACCGCTTTGAATAGCCTTGTATTGGTTCTTGGAGCAAAAAGATTAAATATGTTTGTAGCCCATAGTGTCTCCACCATAATGTAACAAGTATATAAGCATATTTGTACAAAATGGCACACTCTTTATATACCTCCCAAAGTGCTCTCCTGCGCAATGGGCTGTCTGTAGTCGTCCCTCCCTCGTTTCTTCATCGTGTCGCTGCCATCTTTTCCCGTCTTCTCCGGAGTATTTGTCATGCTTTAATGTCAGCGCGAATATAACTGTGGGCAAGGCTGTTACTTGTATGTGGTACCCCACAACTCGATAGTGTATACTGTGTTGCACGTTGTGAAAACATGCTAGCAGGCTTGTAAAGAGTCTTTTATGACAAAAGACATACTGGGGTTGATTTACTAAACTGGAGAGTGCCGAATCAGTAGCCAATCAGCTTCTAACTTAACTTTGCCAAAAAAAACCTGAAGCTGATTAGGTTCTATGCAGAAAGCTGGGCAGCAAGAGTTTACACTCCCCATGTTAGTAGTGAGAGGGCAGATGAAATCCATAAACCGAGATGGTGAGCGAAATAATTCCTAGCTGATGTCAATTCGGCTGTTGGTCCAAGGTCAATTTTGCGGTCTCTCTCATCTCGAATCTCACGAAGCGAGCGCTCTCTCTTTTCGCACGCAGACAAATACACTCTCTTCTAATCAAGGGATGTATCTAACGGCTCCTCAGAGAGCCTAAAAAATAAGTGCTCGAACTCACTGAACCTAATAAATATAACAAGCTCCTCCTAGGAGTACTCTTGCTGGGGTGAAGAGAACCTAAGTAACTGACTCTCTACTCGCTCCTCCTCAGCCTATTTCACGAATGCCAGATAGTGCTCGTCGAACTTTCTCTTCTCAAAGTCATTGGGGAGTGGGTGGGTTGGAATGTTAACAGGCCCACCTCCTACACTCCGTCCTGGCTCATCGCCTAGGCCCTACTCCTCTCTCCACTCTCCTCCTCCAGGACTCATGTCTCCTGCTCCTCGGGCCTCTCTCCCTCGCACCATGGTGTGCTGGGCTCCTCAAAAACGATCGCTCCTCCTGCTCTCGAAGAAGAGATCAGAAAATGATCCTCCTCTGAAAAGAAAAGAAGAAAGGAGAGAGGAATGTCCTTCCTCTCTCTCTCTTCACTTCTCTCTAGTACATCCTCCTAAAAGAAGAATCCCTCCAGAAGAAATCTTCTCTTCTCCAATGAAACAGAAGAACTGAAAAGAAGAATGAGAAGAATGAAACTCTTCAAGAATGAAAAGCAAGAAGAGAAAATGAGATGTCCTCAAAGAAGAAAGAACGAAGAAAACTACATCCTACTCCTCTTTCCTCTCTTTCTCTTCTCCTCCTCTCTGAGAAAAACTGAAAAAGGAAGAAGAAAGAAGAATGAAAAGACAGCAGCACTCTTGCAATGTCTCCACACGCCACAGCTCATTCACTTCTCGCGTCCTCCGCCATCCTCCTGTCCGCCTTCCTCCATCACCCTCCTCCCTCCGTCATCTCTCCATCTCTCCTCCATCCTCCTCTCTCTTTCAATCCTCCTCCGTCCATTCTCCTCCTTCTCTTCTCTCTTTCTCGCTTTCATCTCCTCGTCAGCTCCTCCATCTCTCTTTCTCAAGTCCCTACACTCCTCCTCCTCTCTCGTTCTCTTCTCCTCCTCCTCCCGCCTCTCTTTTCACTTCTCCTCCGTCGCTCCTACCATCTCCAGCCCTTCCTCCTCTCATTGCTCTCCGTCTTTCGCACTCCCTCTTCCTCCATGCTCCTCCTCCACTCCCCGCTCTGTCTCCATCTCCTCCTCTCCTCTCTCTCTCTTCTCGCGCTTCCTCCTCTCTCGTTCCTCTCTGCTCGCTCTTTCTCTCCTCCTCCGCCTCCCTATCCCCTGGCCTCCTCCGCCCTAGTCCTCCTCCTCCATGCCTCTCTCGCTTTCTCATCTCCTCCTACGCGCTCCATCCTCGTCCTCCTCCGCTCTCTTTCAGCATGCCATCCTCCTCCTCTCATTCTCTCCTCCCTCCACTCTTTCATTCTCTCCGCCGCTCCGCTCTCCATCCATCTCTCTCCCTCCATCTCCTCTCTCTCATCCTATCCCCCCTCCATCCTCCTCCTCCTCCTCTCTCATCCCCTCCTCCATCCTCCGTCCTCCTCCCTTTCTCCTCCATCCCCTTCGCTCCTCCTCCTCATCCCCTCTCTCCATCGCTTCTATCCTCCTCTCTCCTTACTCCATCTCCACCCTCCGCCTCTCTTCATTTCACTTTCTTTCTCCATCCTCCTCTCTTCGTGCTCTCCTTCCTCCCATCCTCCTCCTCACTCATCACGGCTGCTCTTCTCCATCCTCCTCCGCCATCTTTCCCTCTTCTCTCCGCACCCGCCTCTCATCTTTCTCTTCTCCGCTCCTCCTCTCTCATTCTCTCTCGGCCTCCTCCGTCCTCTCATCGGGCGTACTCCTCGCTCCGTCCGCCTCACATACTCGCTTCCTCTTCTCTCTCCCGTCCATACCCCCTCACGCTTCATCTCCTCCTCCACCTCCTGCTCTCTTTCACATTCTCCTCCTCACTACTCCTTTCTCTTCCAGCTTCCCTCCTCCTCCGACCCTCCTCACTCTCTCATCTCCTCCTCCTCCTATCTCTCACACTCCATCCTCCTGCCTCGTCTCTCCGCCTCCTCACTATTCGCTCCATCTCCTGCTCCAGAGGCTCCTCACGCCTCCCTCCTCCCTGACCCTGCCAAGCCCTCCCGCCCTGCGATCCCCGCTCACTCCGACCAC